AAAAAAAAACTGATTCATAATCATTTTATATTGAGGACGGCAAGGATGGCGAAGTCGACAAAGCGCTCGGCGCCTTTTCACAATTTACCTCAGGTTGTCGACTTCAACTAGTTTTCCAGTTTTCTTTCCGGGATATGAAGGTAATATAAATGTCAATTGCCAAAACAGCTACACGTAGTTCAGAGTGAGTAGATTTCTAAAACCTAAATTTCAGCCTCAAAACAACTACAAACAACTTGCATATTCAATAAGTGAACTTTAATGAGGTCTTCTTTCTCAAACATCAACCAAGGCCCTTGCGTCCATTCACTAAATATCGAATCTACATCTAAACATTTGTTCTTTAATGGTTCTTTTTCACAAATCCCCGACAACTTTTCATCGCGTATACATCATAAATTACAAGTGTCAAGAAGAGGCTAATGATTTGAATCAATAAATTAAGTGTCAAGACAAAAGCCTTCTACTGCTGCGGGTAGAAGTAGTAAAAGCCGCCGGGATAAAATACCTGAGGGGCTTGCGTGTACGGAATGGGGTTCACGAACTGCCCCTGTTGCGCAACATAACCCCCCGGCATCGCTTGATCCCCGTGGGAACCGACCGGAACATACCCCTGACTATTAGTCATATTTCCAGAAGCTGAGTGTGGGCGAGGAGGGAGATTACTCGCGTGACCACTCGCGTGGTTACTCGCGTGGTTCTGACTCCCCATCCCAACGTGCTGAGTAGGATTCAGCGTTCGACCAGACGACGTCATGAGGGACAGCAGATGCTGGTTGCCGTGGTTACTAAGAGGTTGTAAGACTGAGGGGTGGAGGGGTTGTTTCAAGGCCTGTTTTTTGTGTCCTAGAGGAGAGAGATGAGCATCACTGTGGTGTTGAAGAATGTGGTTCTGGTTGTTAAACAGTGGTTGTTGTTCCATCTTGTTGGGTTTTTTGTTCGACTGAATGATGGCTGAGGTTGGATCCGTCTTGACAAATCCATTCCCTGGTGTCTGAAAGTTTCCACCCGACCATCTTGTACCTGCGACACACAAAACACAAAAATGATGATCAGTGTTTTGGACTCAGGCCGCAGTGAAACAGAGGCCATGAATGGTATATAAAGGTCCGCGTCGCGTACATATGAAAAAGAAAAAATATTTTGAATCATACATAAACATACCATGCAATAGCTTTAACCGTGGGCCCTGCAAGCAAGATGAGACAAGTTAGTTATGATTAACAAATTCCACCAATGGAAAACTCTCAAAAACAGAAAACCCACACAATCAACAAAAGGGTTACAAGTTTGTCAAAAACCTTAGGTATGCCGAGATTTTCCAAATCCTCCTCGACCATCTGAGAGAGCTGAACACCGTCGATGCCATGCTCCTGAAACGGGTACGCAAAATATCATTAGGCAAATAGTATTGTTTTAATGATTCATTTTAAGGATTAAGACAAAATCCGATAAAAGATCGAGCAATTTCAGTTTTTAGTGGACAAAAATCTGGTAACAGAATAATTTTAAGTATTTCACAGTCCTTTTCACATTTTCTTAAAGCGTAAGATATAAATAGTTGCCTGAAATAACACCGAAAACAATTTCCCATGGGAACCAGAGAAAACAAATTTCAAAGTTCTGAGACATTGTGCAAACACATGAAAAATTTCATCATCAGTTTCATTTCACCAGTACTTTCAAGTGATTCATACGAAGTTCAACATTTGTTTTCGACGCTTGGTGTTGCTAGAAATATTTTTTTAGAAGATATTTAAAACATTCGTACAGGAGTTTACAATACCATCTAAATAATGTTGGTACAAGGTTTTTGGCCATTTGTTACTCGAACTTCTGGTAGATTCCGTCTTAAGGATTCATCCATCCGATTTTATTTCCCTATTACTGAAGGTTTCCGGTTTGAAAGGATGGAGTTTAACAATTCGCCCTTTAAGACTGATTGCTAACGTTAAAATCTTCTCTTGTCTTTACCAATCTTGGATGTTTTCGAAGTTTTCTTCTATTTGAAGATAACTTTATATCTTACAAAACGTGATTCAATATAGCATATATTACTTAATTTTGTGTCCCAGTTTTAACATCGCAATAACCCTAAAATCGCAGCAAACTTCAGAAAATAAATTGTTCATCAAGGTAGTAAGACGCAATTACAAGCCCCCAACAATAGCAAGGATGGTTACAATTGAGAAAGATTAAGACGGCTTACAAACCAATTTAAGTTACATTTTTCAACCATACCTCAAACAATGGCACGTATTTTTCCAGTCCTAGTCGCTGCAGTAGTTGGTTGATCTCTGAATTGCTGCTCGTAGGGGCCGGCTGTTCGCGCCAGTTCTCTCTCATCGTCAATCCAGGTGGATAACCCTGTGGCATGCGAGAATATTGTTGCCAAGGATGTGCAGGGATGCTGTTCTCGCCACCACCAGACTGCGACAGATCAACACTAGATCGTCTCGGCTGTGCAGGCAGATTCTCATTCCACCCCGTGGAGGGCTCACTGCTGCTTAAAGAGCGCGGACTTCTCTGCTTGGAAGCCCAAGACCGTACGGCGAAATCATCAACAGAGGGGCGGCCTCCCATCGACGGAGGTGCAGACTCCGGGAGATTGTGAGTACGAGGGAGGGAAGGTGAGGAGGGAGCACTATAAGCTCCTCTACCCGGCACCCACTGTGAACCCGTCGGCACCCCTTGATCTGACAGCGCTGTGTTCATTCCTCCTTGAGCCTCTTGTGGAGTCGGTGTCATGTCCTCGACAAACGCCGATGAATTCCACATAGTGTTACTCGCGGGCACGTCACTGTCCATAATGGACGAAAGCTCCTGCCTACTGCTACTTCTACTACTGCTGGTGCTGTCAGAGTTATTCCAAGCTTGTTTATCTGGAGTTCCCTCGTCGCACACAACAGACAGTGAGGCAGCATGAGGAGGCTGTGACGTCACTGGTCCCCAGATCCCTGACGACAGCGGTTTGAAAGTTCCAGAATCACCACGAAGGTCAGAGGCTCCTCTCATGTTGATCGCGGCCGCATCTGAGCCGGATTTCTGAGCTGAAGGAGAGAACTTTTCCTTGACCGGTGATATGAACTGATGTTCGCCTTGGTAGTCGTGCTGCAACCGGGCATCAAATAAGTTAACATACAACTTAATACTAGTTTCTACACCATGAAGTGAATGCAGGATGCAGCACTTATCCATCGAGATTTTTTCTCCCTCTTACATTTTTTCAGGGTAACCTGACAATTTTCAATGTTTTATTGAAGAATACTCAACAATGCTCTGGGTAAGAGGTATATGAGATGCCTTAAAGTAAGCAAATTTCATCTTAAATAAAATGTCACAAACTATCTCAAGTTTAGAATAGCGAATGCACAGGAAATTCATTTCTTAAAAAGATCCCTTTCCTCAAAAAGCTTTTAAAATTTTTCTCGTTTTTACCCAATTCCCAAGTCCCAAGAGTAAACAATTAGTACACTTCCAAGTAGAGCCGTCACAAGAAGGAAAAAAAGGAAAATTACGAGAAAACATTTTGACGAACCACCCATTTCTCCCATAACATTTAAAAGACTGTATACTATACAGTAAGGAGAATATCTAGGTTGATATTAAGAGGTGCTGGATCCTACCTGGCCAGACCAACTGATGCTTCGTGATCTTTCTTCAATTTCACGGCCATCTTCACCAGTTGACCAAGGATATGATGACAGAGAACTAAGAACGACAAAAACCATTTTAATCACAGGAACAGAGTGATTAGTTTTTAAAGAAACTGTTTAGTGAAACACTTACTTGAGAAAAACGTGAAGTTGGAAAAGGTAAATAAACCACCGTAGCAGATTTCAATTTTATATGAATCTTCCAAGACTCGGTTAAAATTTCCAGCAATTTTCTGGGACCATTGTTCCAGCATGACAAAAAAAATCAAACATTTTTCAGAAATTCCAAGAGGTGTAGGCACTTCGCGCACTACAGAAACGAAAACACCAAATTTCAAACTTAAAGGAACCTTGTCACAGTGTTTTGAGTTATTTTTTGAGTTATCTTTAAGTTGAAGAAAACCTGAAAATAGTAGTTCACTAAGATAGAAAAACATCAAAGAGATAATAATAAACCATAAAGGAACAAGGATGGTGAAGGATGGACAAGATAAACACGGATTACAAACGACGGACTTGAAAATTTTTGCTCAACTTTTCAAGGAACGCAAACCGTGACGTAACTCCTTCAAGAGAACAGATTGCTACTTCAGTAGCATCAAGGTGAGAGAATTTTACAACCTACCTGCTGCTGAACAAACTACTAGTAAAAAGTTCCATTCCAGGCAGAGGACCCTAAAGAATTAATAAGATTACCTATCAGGAAAATGCGTCCGAACTGTACTTTTCCAACGGATTAATAATTCATCAAGTTTAAACCAAAGAAACGGTGACAGTGACGGTGTTTGGGCATCTGATCTTAATTAGCATATATTGTTACAGTTTTCTTCTCTATTTCTCCTTAGTTTTAGTCTCGAATGAAAAGATATACCAAACACGAAAGACCGTGTTTAACCACATTTCCAAACACCTCCACATTCGTCAAAAATACTCCGCTACGCGTCGTATTTTTCAATTTTTTTCTCCATGTTTGGAAACGTGGAGAGACACAGTCCCTCGTGTTGATATAGTACTTAATTAATTTGACAAAAACAAACGCATTACCTCCAGCTTTCGTCCCGATGCAAAGCTATCTGTGCCAATGTCGGAGATACCTGAAAATTGCGTGGAAAACAAAAACCATTAAAACTGGCATTCAAATAATACTACTAACAATAACAAAAGCAAGGAGGAGTGGGAGAGGCGCGTTTACCTGTAGATTGTGAAGCCCAAGGACTGAAGTAAGGAAACTTGGACTTGTTTCGTTCCCTTGGAGATGGTAACAACCCTGATGATGCTGCATCTGTAGAAGACGATGAAGGGGCTCTGTTCTGTAGCAACCCCTCCTGCTGGGACGGAGTAAACTCTGCAACTGCAGCTTCAGCTAGAAGGATAAGGATACATGTACTTTAGATCCGCAAGCTTTGTTTAAAAGTATTTTCAAGCTTTTCTCGGTTTATTGCTACGCGTATATTGGACTAGAGTGGAACTTCTAATCAGAGTTTTGTATTGTGAGAGCCTGTTTACAAGCGACTGGGCGTAATACAACATTTTAAGCAATTTTCATACTAGGGTTTCATCTACAGATTAACATGTTACAGCTAACTTGTACAGCATAATAAACTAGGCTTTCATCCAGACTAAAGATAGAACCACCTTGTACAGCATAATAAAAGTACTGCTCGATAGCTTTCATTTGAATGGTCACACACTAGGGTTTCACTCACAAACTCAAAACTTGGAATCACCTTGGACAGCATAATAAACAGTACCACATGAAAGTACTGCTCAATAGCTTTCATTTGAATGGTCACACACTAGGGTTTCATCCACAGACTTAAAAGTTAGAACCACCTTGTACAGCTTAATAAACAGTACCGCATGAAAGTACTGCTCAATAGCTTTCATTTGAATGGTCACACACTAGGGTTTCATCCACAGACTAAAGATAGAACCAAAATGTACAGCATAATAAAAGTACCGCTCGATAACTTTCATTTGAATGGTCACACACGTACGGTTTCTCTCAAAACTTTGAAAATTTTTTAAGAACCAGATTAATATTGCCTGAAGTTTGGACTCTGAAAGTGGAAGGATTATCCTGAAAGTGACAAATTACTTTGAAATGCGGTAGTGGCAGTAGCAACTTCCCCAATGACTCCAAAAGGGTTTTCAGGTGTGATGTGAAGATCTCGATTAGTAGTAGTTGTGACGGCACTAGTGCTGATGGATACTGTTGCTACAGAGGTCGGTGAAGATTTGTGGCCCTTGATGGAACAAAAAACGACACGGTAAGCTTTAAAACTTCAGTCTAAACTTGACAACTGGACAAGAAACGGTAACGTAAAATTCTCTATTAATTTCCCAGGGAAGGTTTGTAACCTTACCTAGCCAAAAGCATAATAATTTCATAAAATAAACATCAAGCAAATAGTAATTAAAAATACACTACTACTTGATTAGCAAGAGAAACCTTTCTCATTCACAGTGAGTTGAAGGAGAGTTCTCTTAGCGGCACACCGATTCAATCTTGATCCACGCACCCTTTACAACAAGCTCTTGATAGCTCATGTGTGAAAACAAAATCACATTAAAATTACCTTTGATTCCCAATTCTCCTGTGAAGTTGCAGGAGCTAGCCCCTTGCTATCACCCACTCTGTTATTTCTGGATTGACTCTGCACCTGTGGACCTGGATTTTCCTGCAAACGAAAAGGCTTATACGAAGCTGTCGCACCGCCATCGTGTCTTGCCGAAGTCAACCTGCTTTCTGCAGCCTGCGAACTAATCAGAGTCACACTGCTACTGATACTTGTTGTCATAGCACTCGTACAAGCACCCATGCTTTGAGGTGACTGTATGTACGGTTTCCAAGCTGACGATGAGGTCTGTGTCGCATCAGAAGTCACAGGAGACGAGGTAACAAAGGCTTTCGCTGCTTCAGAGCTGTTAAATGTCGCATCTTCAGCTTTGCTTGCCACGGCTGCATTATCTTCAAACACGTCTTGGCTGCCATCGCTCAGCTCCGGTGAACTTTTCAGTTCTTCGCTAGGTTTTTCAGTCTTGTTTGGAGCCACTGTCTTCATTGGTGGCGCCTGGACTGCCATGTTATTTGCCTGTTCAATGGTCGGCCATTCGGAGGAAGATGATGGGATAGCTGCGTAGTTTCCTCTGACTGGAGCTGGTGATGCGCTGGTTTCTGTTCTGTCCGAGGATGACATTGCATTTGACGTGGTAGCAGTGGAGATGGTGGGTGTTGTCTGTCCGATTGTACTGGGCGTGTTTAAGGCTTGCGTGACAAGAAACTTGGCCCTCTGGACTGCCTTACTGGAGCCCTTCAAAACAATAAACAGAGAAAAACTGTTAATCCTTTGGTTTATAATAACAACCATCTAGAGGATAGGGGTCTGGCTGGACAGAAATTACATCGTCCATGTAGCGAGAAAAGGACCTCCTATTGTGGTGTGAAATATTCTACGTTTGGAATAACCATTTGAAGAGTCGTACTAGGCAAACGTAAACAGCATTCCATTTCTGTAGAATACGAAATAAAGTAACATCCTTACCTAGTTTAAAAAACAATAATCAAGGGAAAAGTATCGCTATATAACGCCTGTGGTGTTTGAGACATCCACAGACTGCACGGTTTTCAACCAGGAGATTGACAATAATTAGCATGCCATTATTGACCTCTCCCAATAGCCCCATGGAGAGTCCATACCATTTCTAACAGAACAAAATTACAAAAAAGACACCTCTGGTGTTTGTGGTGTTTGTCCAAAACTTTGCCAAAACTGCTACATGTTCCTTACTGTAAACAAATGGTCTACGTTTAAAAATCTAATTGAATCTTATATTGCAATTGTAAAATTGTATTACTGCCATAAACTGTACCTTGATAGTGATAACTCTGTCTGTTGGATTCTTTGGTTCTGGTTTACCAATCGTTATTTGCGCACCCGAATCCTCCTAAAAACAACAAAAAACCCTTGTTACCATTTTGGCTCATTACAAGAAGGAAATCACAATTATAATTACTAAGTTAATTACGCTACAATCTTGCACGTTTCTTCCAAAAGCACCATAAATAAAACAGTCAAACAACACGAATGAAACGTCAATGTTTATTAGTAAATATCTGGCCCGCAATTAAGTGTTTAATGTTGAAAGAGCCTGAGGATAAAACAGTCTAACAGATTTCCTTCTAAATGGGTACAATGCACGTCGAGTGGCTAAAGCATACATTGTTTATACATCTTTTAGTTACATACCGTTATTGAGTTGATCTTGCTTCCCCCGCGGCCAATGACTCGCCCACAGATTGCATTTGGTGCGGTCAACTGAAACATTACCGTCCTGAAATTCAGAAGAGCATTTGTTTGATTGTTTGTCAGTGTTTCGCATGAAGGGTAAAAAAAGGCTTCCTTATCATTCATAAAGAACCAAAATTTCCACTGATTAAAGTTAAATTGGTGACCTCTGTATTTAATTTGTGTGTTGATCATTTCGACTAATCCTTTCATTTACAACTAAGACGACGTCTACACCTATACGTTTACGTCTGTAAACGCATACAAAGACGTTCGTCTACACGAGTCTGACGATCGTTAACGTACGTTCGCGCCCGTGAACACGTAAACGATGAACGAATACGCTAACGTTGAAATAGCTATTAAACCAAGGCGCCTGGGTACGAAACTGACACTGAGCCTGCGTACATTGCTAGACATGACGTTAGTGTTTACCAGTGTAGTTTTTGATACGAGAGAATATAAAAGGAGATAGTTCTCTGTTATAAATGTGTCTACTCTGGAGAGCGTTTACGTGGAAAATACATTTAAGCGTAAACGTCAACGTCAAACGAAAATTTATGTTCTTGCTTTTGGATAGTTTCGTCCCTTACCAATGAAATAGAAAACTCCCATTTAGCATGTACAAGTAGCACAATGACGCCAGTATAGAGCGGTTTGAATTGAGTGTCAAAAGTTATAAGGCAATTACCTTGGTTTTGGTTTTGGTTTAACTACGGTTTGAGATTGGCTGAGTAGTTTAATTGGCAAGTAACTGGTTTGGTTTTGGTTTTACGACACTCAATTGAAAACCGCTCTATGACTTTTTTACTGTATGAATTGGTTTATCGTTTGATGCTCCTGACTTGGATGATCACACTACCCCAGATGTTACAGACAAGCTTGACTACTTACTTTGAGTTTGTGCTCCTCGTGACTTCCTTCCAATTATCCTCACCCCTCCCTACTTGGTGGTGTTGTTGTTTCGACCTCGGCGAATGCACTACTAGAAAAAAAAAATGTTAAATACTACTCAACACTGTGTTCTAGATAAGTGAGGATTCTCAGGTCAAGAACCTGACAAGATCAGCTACATGACCCGAAAAATGAATAGAAAATTTAAAATGACTTGGTGAGAGCAGTGGGAATTGACCCATTGGAATTCCTTATAGATAACCTATCTTGAAAACGTTTCAGGCACCCTGAGACGAACTGATTTAAAACTGTATTACACGTCCCTACAAAGGCGTGGGTCAGAAAAACGTCTATCATACAAAATGTATGTTATCTCATCATATCCAGAAAATAAATAAGGAAGCTTATGCTTAAAAATAAAGTCGGCTTAGGTGACTCTTGGAATACCTCATCCAAACACAATCGTGAGTGTGGGTTTTACAAAAGGAATCACAATTGAGCATTTTTTTTTTTCATCGCGCTAAACAAAACAAAACGTGGTCTCAAGCTGAGTAGGTCGTGTGTCTTGGCTTGAATACTTTTTTTTTTTCAGTCACTTAACTGTTTTGGAGCTGTTACTCGATAAAATGGTCTACAAATGAATCAATGTCACTGACCTGGTTTATGTTCCCTTTCTCCTTCAATCGTCGCGGATGTTTTACCACTACTCGGTGAATGACCCGAAGAAGTCGTACCCTTTGTAAATAATCTACCACTCTCACTCGCTATTGACGATGTGTGAGCGTTATCAGCGACATTCTGTCCATCTTTACCCCTTCTAACAGAAGTTTGAGTTGTATCTGATGAAACCTTTGCCGGGTGAACTGTCCCCCCATGGCTGGAATCTTTCGAACTAGAGGATTTGTTTCCAACGTGGCCAGGGTTTCCAACAATTTGCTGCTTGTTGTAAGAATTCTTTTTTGGACTGCTCGCAGAATTATTTGCTTTCTCGGTCTGTTCTTTCTTTGATAATGGCTTTTCAGCCTTGTTTTGATGTTTCGTATCTGGCTTTACACAATTTACGGTTTCGGATTGAGTCACCTCGCTTGTTGTCTTAGTTTTAATCTCAGTCTTCTGTGCCTTAACAGAATCAGCCTTGTCACCAATCACTGGGGTATTTTTCTTCTTGGAGACCTTTGCCAAATCCTCACTCTTCTTTCTGGCATTTTTATCCTGTACGGAATGACTTTTTAACTCAGATTCCTTCCCTGCACTGTGACTACGTCGATGGCTGCGTTCATTTAAACAAACAGAATTCTGCGTTGTCGACACATCTCCTGTACTACTCAGAGGTCTTTTAGGCTTGGTGTGACTAGCATCTTGTGTGGGTCTCTTGTTACTGGCAGAAATCTTCAGCTTGTTTCTGTCATCGTCGGCAATCTGTCTGTTTTTGAGCGCATCTTGGGTTACAAGGTAGACCTTCTTCTCTGTTGCGGTTTCTCTGTGGCTTGTTGCAGTAAGTAGCCCGTCAGTACAAGGCTCTCTCGTGGTGTCGACAACATCACACTCATTCTCCTCCTGGTCTTGTTCATAGTCATCTACTAGTTCTTGTGGTCTGTTCTCCAGTGGAAGGTCTTCACCAACTTGGTTTCCACAGGAACCTTCACTGTCTTTAGCAGCTTTTCTTCTCTTTCGCTTATCTCGCCGTTTAGCTGCCGCCTTCTTTTTCCTTATATCTTCTTTTTCTTTTTCGTGTTCGAGTTCCTAAAGCAGGACATTGGACACGTCACTTTCACTTACAGTATAATGTCTTCTTACATACACTGCAGAGTTCTACCTAATCATAACGACCACAGCTTACATCAGTTACATCAAAAACAAAGATTAGATTCAACTGCTCAGCCCATCATACAAGGTACATGAAAGCAGATTCACTCATCCGCTGTTTACCTCTGGTGTCTGTAACATGAGGTGGCTGGTTGTATTACTTCTCCACCTGGATGAGGGGCAAGTCCATCACAATTTACCCCCTCCCCCCCTCCCAACCGCCATTATTTCTCACGTTTGCCAGTACCCTTTTATATACCTGAGCGGAGAGAAGCACTGTGACAGTAGTGTCTGGCCCAGGAACACAACACGTTAACCCTAACACTGCCCAAGCACTTAAAAAGTAAGAATCAAAAGTCCATAGGTTATAGACTGGTTATTATATAAACCACGCAGGAAGTCAGTCAAATATTGGAATGAAACTCTGAACTCACCTTCAAAAAGATTTCTGTATTACGTTGGACCTTCTGTTCTTTTGCTTTCTTTGCCTAAAGAAAAACCACAGAGAAAGAAAAAAGATACTCAAATACTCAAAACGTCATTGGCTGTGCTATCACTAACAGGATGGTTACCTCCCCATGCCCCTGCCCATCCCCCCACCTTCAAAATTTGCCAGGTTACCACAATAATTTGCCAATACCCTAGTGAGAGCAAAGCACAACCCATGTCCCTGGCAAGTGCTTGAGCCCTGGAGACTGCTTGATCTGCAGTCCAGGGTCCGTTGTTGAAAGGATGAATAATGCAATCCAGCGGATAAATTACTACCCAGTGGATAAGCGTTGACAAAACAAACCACACTATCCAGTGGTTTTTTTTAAGTGATTTATCCGGTGGATAGCATTGTCCCCCCATTGAACAACTGGACCCTGCATGCTTCAGTGTAGAGCACTGTGCCACTCCACACAATGTTTTTGTGTGATAGAACAAAAAGTTAGACTGCATGCTTTCGCAATAGCCTTGCTGACTTCCGAACAGTAAACTCTGAACTGATAGCTCTATAATAAAATTACGCTCGTTCCCCTTGATTTTGGTTTGCACAAACCTTGGTGACCAAGTCGTAGCACTTGGTTCGTCCAAGCATCATATCGTCATGTTTTTCTTTGTCTTCCACCGGTGCAACCAGACACTTCTGGCACTGATCTTCAGATGGCAAATGATTCACAACTCCCAGTAACCACTCCACCACCTGAGATAAACAGCAAATCAATAATACACGACATTTATAATTCACTAAATTCTCCATTCATAGAGAAAAGGTGAAGAAAGGAAAAGACAAGGTTAAACGGGTAAACCTTTGTCTTTGTAAGGACTGCTACATATGTTCATTAAAAACATCTTATTTTTGTAAAAAAAAAAACACATAATTTTCACAAAATTAATATCTCAAACCTCTGCATGGCCGTTCTTCATGGATGCAACAAGAGGGGTGTTGTTTCGTGAGTCGCTGGCCTGGAAATTGACAAGCACAACATCAACAATTTGCTTATTAACACAAAGCAAGTTAGTGAGATTACCAGTGACTAAGATAGATCTGAGCGTCAGTGCGCTGGNCATGTCTTGTTACACTTACCAAGCACATGTCATGTGGTAAAATTCCTCAAGTTTGTGTGATTAGAAAACATGAATTGAAATAAACTCTGTACAGCTTCAAAATGCGGTAGAACAGTAAAGTAAATGGTTTGTTCCCTGGGCAAGGATGAGCAGAATCAGATAGAGCCAGCATTTTGCTCCAGCTTCTTTACTGTAAAGCGACTGGAAGTATTGCATCTTTTTCAAAAACATAACACGAGACCCTGGGCTCTCACCTGGAATGTTCAATTAAAACTCTAACAAACTAATCATTAGACCACTGCCTCCCCACAACTCCCCAAGGATCTTTATGAAAGGCAAATCTGACTAACCTGCTGTTTGGGAATGGTGCGTTCACACTGGCTCCATAATCCAACAAAAGTTCTACTACATCCACATGGTTTTCTCGACAAGCCTGAGGGGAAAAAGCAACTAACATTAAAGGTTTATTTCCTTTCGTGATTATTTGATCTTAGATCTAGAGCCAAACTGATAGCCTTCTCTGACTAATATTTTTGCACTGAGAACAAGTACTAGACTTCTGTGATACCTGAAATAAGGGCGTGATGCCTGTTTTTGTTCGGCAGTCTCTGTTCGCAACATTTTCAAGGAGAAGTTCTGCAACATCCCGGTGACCTGAACAAGTAAAAGCATGTAACTTAGCACAAGCTTCTTGTTGATAACATCTGTTACAGTACACATTTGTTTTTTTATTTCAAAATAAGAAAGGTGAATGTTTGTAAAAATTGATGAAGACCTACCTTTCCAACAGGCCATAAAGAGAGGACTTTGACCATAGTTATCAGGAAGTTCTACATCAGCACCATGCACAAGTAACTGTTCAGCGACAGAGACATGACCCTCCCTAGAAATCAGTCAATTGGTACTGTCAGCATATTACTTCATAATGTACTGTAAACAAAACTGTTCCTTTCTGGGGAGTGAGGGTGCAAGTGGGTCAAACCCAATATTTTACTTGTTATGTAAGCAGCAATGTCCTATAGTGTGCGAGTCAGGAGAGAGGTTGCCTGTATCAAATAATGCCATCTTCCCACCTCAATGGTCCAGCCTAAATCTTAGGGGTACATGTACAAAACTAAGAATTTTGAAACCAGAAAAAAAAACAGGAACCAGTAATAAATTATTGCTACAACCTTCTAGTTTAATTCCTAAAACCCGGTCTTTGTAATCTAAACAAATTATGTACAGCTACAGCAAGCACTTTGGTGAACCTTCCATGAAAACAACTTGACCTTGTTTATAAGAAATACTGTCATGTATTCTCATCACTAAATATCAATATTGTTTTGTAAATATACAGTGTCACAGGGCTTGAAAAGAGTGCCATCCAGTCATCCACGACAAGTAGATTTTCCTTCCAGGCAGTAACTTTTCATTCTCACTTGCCCAATGACCAAGAGATCAGGCAAGTTGTCCACCAACCAAGTCATTAAAAGAGCAAACTACATGTAAGACTTGCGCAAGGCAACAAAAATTTGAGGCCACTTGTCCCAAGGGCAAGCTGGAATTAACTTTTTTTCTAGCCCTGGGCAAGTGTCACTATAGGAAAATGCACAGTGTAACAAGAAATAAAGGCAAAATCAAACCTTGTAGCTTCCATAAGAGGGGTGCAGCCAGTTTTAGTTTGATGATCGACTTTGGAGTTGTGTTTTAGGAGAAGATCAACCACATCCACATGGCCTGTTTGGAGAAGAAAGGATATTCATGATGGAAAGTTGTAAAAAGCTCTTAGTATACTTCAATAGTCACAGAAGAGGGTGATGCAATCATTGCAAGAAGTTTCCTTAATGTAAAACACAGATGAAAACACAGGTTCAAATATGTATGATACCTAAAATGTCAATAGTAAGCCCTGGGCTATAATATACATTACTTGCATGAAACTTTGCATGATTTTTTTGGACAAAAAAAAAATGTCTGAAAATAAAACTAACTAAAATTCTGGTTGGAGTCTGAAATATTTACAGTACAGTATAAAACTTTTAAATAGCTCCAAAGTCACCACTTTCCTTTATAGAACTAACTCTAATTGAGAAACTGCTCGAGATGCCTAACAGCTTAATAAAATTGTTCTTATTTTCCCATCAGTGTATTCTGTAAAACCTTGAGGGTGCAGTAAAACTATCATTGAACGTCTGAAATTTTGACACCTAAAATTTTTTGCCAGCAATGTAGAAGACTTGTTTGGTACATATTTTCCTAGGGTGGGGTTAAGTGTGTTTTTTTTTTGTATTTACATCTGCCACAAATTTTCATAGCCAAAAAAATTCTATCAATAGCCATTAATTATTTCATGCTGATGTGTACACCAAGAGAGTATCATTTTGCATAAATACCTTTCCAGCAGGCCAGTGTAAGTGGTGTGTCGTCGTTACTCCCTGATGGTGTGTTTATTTCAGCTCCCTTGTTTAGCAAAAGACGAGTGGTGTCTACATGACCCTCCCTAAAAATACAATCAAGTAATGATTATTACATGTTTGAATTTCAATCTGATTCTGAGTCACTATGTAACAGTTCTCGTTTAGTACCAGTAGTTTGAAAACAACTGTCTGTAATATAATCATTTCTGTTTAAAGTGCCTATGAAATGAAAAAATAATTGTTGCTCATTTGAAAGGTTTTTCAAAATAAAGAATGATGTTTTCTTGTGGAATATCTTCTTTCGTTTTAGAGATATTGATGTTTTGTATTATGCAACCCTATCCCTAACATCCATAAACACATAACAAAACAATGAGGCCACTGTTCAGCCATCTTGACTGAACAAGCTTTTATCAATAGAAGATTGATTATATATGGCACAAAGAACAGTATTTTTCCTGCAGGTAAGAAAGTGCCATCTTGCCCGTTCAAGTAGCCAATCACAACACTGGATTTGGTTCATTCTGCCCACTTACCTTCAGTGAAAACTGAAATGCTTTCTAACACATACAAAAAGAAGTGAGCTTCATATATGTTACCTTGAGGCTAACATCAGGGGAGTACAGCCAGCTTTGTTACGATGCTCAATATTTGACTTGTGTTCCAAGAGAAGCTCAACCACATTAGTATGGCCTGAAAGAAGTTATTCATCATACAATCACTATGATGAAGACAGAGTTAACTGGGGAAGGACATAGATTAATTACCTGGGGTTTTATTGACATTTTCTGCAGGAGGGCAACTGGTTTTCACAGGTGGGCAAAACTTTTCATACTGAACTTCTTTCCAAGAAAAAATGTTCCTCCAGATGGTCAAACCAGGTGGACAAAATCATCCTCATAGCCGGTCAATTTGCCCGGTGCCTGGCCCTCAATGAAACCCCTGAATTACATTACAGCTACACGTACTGTACGAAGAAAGAGATCAGTTCACAATACCTTTCCAGCAAGCCAGAGTAAGGGGGATGTTATTTTCACTACCAGAGGGAACATTCACTTCAGCATTGCTATCAAGAATCAACTTGGCTACTGAATAATGGCCCTCACTGTAAACAATAAAACAGTCACTGGGTTAGAGGGGTTTTAAATAATTTTCTCACCACCAGGACCAAAGCAATCACAATGGTTGATTACAACAAATGTACACAGCACTATAAACCAAAGAAAGCTTGACGTAAATACATGTAACAGATACCAAGGGTGGGAAATCTGCATGGTCAAGTTGAGATTCATCATCATCATCATCAATCTCACGCCACTGAATCGAAGGACCATCTGGGAACTAATTCAACTGTCCACCCCTTCCCTCTTTCTTCCAGAGTTTCCTGTCCCTCTGATGCCCCTGTCTCTCTGGAATTTCCAATTTCCTGTGTTGAGGCTACAGGAATTTTCTGGAGCTTTAACATTACATCAGATAGAGTCTACTCTGAATGGCAACAAGAACATGATTGGAGAGTAGGAACCCCTTTATATAAACAAATTTTTTGCAATATTTTATTTTATTAGCAGGAAGTCAGTTATGGTTTNTCTGAATGGCAACAAGAACATGATTGGAGAATAGGAACCCCTTTATATAAACAAATTTTTTGCAATATTTTATTTTATTAGCAGGAAGTCAGTTATGGTTTACTTGTGACTCCTGCTGTTCAGATTTTTAAAATCACCTTGCTTAGAGGAAAGAGTAATTAATTCCACTGCACAAAATAAGATTGGCAATGCAAGTGAAAAACTTTGATTCTACCACAATAAAAGATTCAGACCCAATTCTTTGAATGTATAAAAGCACTGCACCTAATATTGCAAATAGTGATAGTTTATTACACTAAACAACTGCCCTGCAAAGTGGAAGTTGGGTGACTGAGGTATCCAGAAGCATCTACTATTGGCAGCCAGATCCTAGATGGAGACCCCTCCCATGGCTGGCAAATCCTGGCAACCCAGCCATGTGCCCCCACGTGGAAGGGAAAAAAGCAGACACCCATCGCACTGACAAAACAGTGGAAAGAGAGGGAGGGACAGGGGAGGGGAAAGAGCCTCTGAGAAGAGTCCCCTTGCTTGAAACTCTAACGCTGATGGAAAACACTGCCGCCTGGTTAGCTCAGTTGGTAGAGTGCCAGACTGCTGTGCGGGAGGTCAAGGGTTCAAGCCCCAGACCGGACCAACAGAATGTGCTACCTCTGTAATTATATCTGCAAAATGCTTAGACATTCCAGTTTTCTCGGATAAGGACTATAAATCGTAGGCCCCATCTCCTGCATCTTCAGTGTTATGTGGTTAGCAGGGGACATTAAAGAACCCACACACTTATCGAAAAGAGTAGGGCACATAGTCCCTGGTGTTGTCATCTGGCCTTGTCTCACGGGTTGGTGCTTAACATAGGGTTAACCTCAATGCACCTTTCCCCCTTGGACAGAATTGTCCTAGAAAAATTGCTGACTATGACTGACTCAAAGTAAGACTACTTTTGTCAATGCCTTGTAGCCCAAGAACACATGGAATCCTGGCGCATGTGCCNCAACCGCCATTATTTCTCACGTTTGCCAGTACCCTTTTATATACCTGAGCGGAGAGAAGCACTGTGACAGTAGTGTCTGGCCCAGGAACACAACACGTTAACCCTAACACTGCCCAAGCACTTAAAAAGTAAGAATCAAAAGTCCATAGGTTATAGACTGGTTATTATATAAACCACGCAGGAAGTCAGTCAAATATTGGAATGAAACTCTGAACTCACCTTCAAAAAGATTTCTGTATTACGTTGGACCTTCTGTTCTTTTGCTTTCTTTGCCTAAAGAAAAACCACAGAGAAAGAAAAAAGATACTCAAATACTCAAAACGTCATTGGCTGTGCTATCACTAACAGGATGGTTACCTCCCCATGCCCCTGCCCATCCCCCCACCTTCAAAATTTGCCAGGTTACCACAATAATTTGCCAATACCCTAGTGAGAGCAAAGCACAACCCATGTCCCTGGCAAGTGCTTGAGCCCTGGAGACTGCTTGATCTGCAGTCCAGGGTCCGTTGTTGAAAGGATGAATAATGCAATCCAGCGGATAAATTACTACCCAGTGGATAAGCGTTGACAAAACAAACCACACTATCCAGTGGTTTTTTTTAAGTGATTTATCCGGTGGATAGCATTGTCCCCCCATTGAACAACTGGACCCTGCATGCTTCAGTGTAGAGCACTGTGCCACTCCACACAATGTTTTTGTGTGATAGAACAAAAAGTTAGACTGCATGCTTTCGCAATAGCCTTGCTGACTTCCGAACAGTAAACTCTGAACTGATAGCTCTATAATAAAATTACGCTCGTTCCCCTTGATTTTGGTTTGCACAAACCTTGGTGACCAAGTCGTAGCACTTGGTTCGTCCAAGCATCATATCGTCATGTTTTTCTTTGTC